TCATGAGAAACATCATTTAGATGAGGAGTGTTGAACACAAGTAAACATGTCCAGTGGTGATGTTTTTTATTTCTTTATAAAGACAAATAGTGCCGATCTGATGCTCTGTATTAAAGTGTATTAAAGTTAAAATGTCTTTAAAACCCACAGCTGAATTTACACAAACTTAGTGAAAAACATGTTTTAAATGTGTAGAATTAAAGGAAATCTAGGTGAAATACACTAGTGAACACTTTTTTACACACACGCACGTGCACACACATGCACGCACCTACACACATCATTGTGCCCCCCCCCCCCCCCCCCCCATACACACACATTACGGATGCTTCTGACGCCCTTGGTGGAATGACTGAGTGAATACAAATTGATTCTTCAAAGTAAATTTTAATAATAGCAATGAGAACAGCTTGGCGGGCCAACTTTGGCCCACGGGCCCCACTTTGGACACCTCTGGCCTAGAGTCTTTGGACAGCTTCACATGTGGGTTTCTTCAATATTCAACAGAATCAACACTTTGGCTCTTTAAATAAATGACCTGATTTTTTAAATTTTAAGCAATGTTCTGGCATAAAGAAATAGTACTTTAGGAGTGTCAGTCAGAACACGGAGTATTAAAAAGGTAGACATTTTCCTCCAAGATAGTAGGGGCACCACGAAGAGGAGACCAGAGGTGGGGCAATGGCCTCTCTAAAATAACTCGTAATAATAGTTATACTACAATGTTCAGTCAGGTCATCTGGACGGTTTCTTTTTTTGCTGAGACGTTTCGTCCTTCATCCAAAGGACTTCTTCAGTCCGAGGAGCCACAAACAAACTGCAGTCCCCCAAGTCCAGTTTGGTTGTGGCTCCTTGGACTGAATAAATCCTTTGGATGAAAGATGAAACGTCTCAGCAAAAAAAGAAACCATCCAGATGACCAGACTGAACATTGTTTGATTTGTACCTGGATTACTGAGCATGAACTTTGGTGGAATAGTAATAGTAATATTAAATTAAGTAAATTAACAAAAATGTAGTAATGTTTTTCAGAAGGTGATTTCATAACTCCTGCGTTGCTGTATTTGTCAGTAATATATATGACAATGACATAAATCTCCTAAAATTCTGCTCTGGTTAACAGTTTTAGGTGTGCCACTTTAAGATTTTAAGTGGGCCCCACCCACATGGCCACCCCTTTAAAAAAATTCTGGATGTGCCACTGCAGGCTATAGGTGAACAGCCAGCAAAAACAGTGGCCTTGTTCATATTATTTGTTTAAGGTGCAAAAAACCCAGTTCTTCAAAAATCTCATACAGGTGTGAAAGAATGCTACGTTAGCTAATATCAAAGGTGCTCCTTTCATTTCTAATGAAAACTGCTGCAGCTCATCTACGAAAACAGCTGACATGACTGAAAACAGGTCCACGATGGTGATGTTGCAATAAAGAACTTCAACAACTTTGACATGATGGCACGTATTTACGCTCCGATTTGTTGAGTAAAGTATGCAGATGAAAAGAAAGTGAGGTCCAAGTGCTAAACATACCTGTAAACAATGTTTTGAATGTGTTCGAATGCTGAGCTTGGTCTTTATGGCAATTTTATTTGATGTTTAGCAGCAGATTCTCTCGTATTTCCACCTAAACATCTTCTCTGACCCATTTCACCGTATGTGTTTACCTACACAGACTACAGCCAGCCTAATGTACCAGTCATGTGACCCAAGCGTCAATTCATCCAAGTGCTTTGTTTACACTGACTGCATACCCTCATTTTACAATTGCATATCAATAAATCTGGACAACTACTGGAGTCAATTCAAACTGCACAGTTCAATATAGTTCAGGATGTTTGATCAAGAAGCCAGTCATGTTTGATTTTTCATACTTTGCAATGAACTATCCTGATTCATGCTCAATAATCCAGGTAGAAAAATCTAACAAAGTTAAGTCAGGTCCTCTGGATGGATTAAAAATTAAAAAATAAAATAAAATGTTGAAACGTTTTGTTTTTTATCCAAAAGACTTCTTCAGTCTGAGGAGCTGCACTAAACTCAGTCTTATAAAAAGCACCTTCTCATAGTGCATCAACCAGTTTGCAGATAACATCCAGAACTAGTTGTTCACGAGGACCACCAGCCTAACGACCAATCATTAGTGCTCTGATGGCTGCTTGCTATTCTCAGAGGGCTGAGTGATTCTAGCAATAACATTGTAAGAGACATGGAGGCCTCCACCCCTGTTTAATGATGGACGGTTTCTCTTCACAAAGATGGCCTCCTTCACTCTTCTCTCAAACCATCATTCCTCTCTATCGAGGGTGGCTGTGGATGAGTGGTTAGAGCAGTTGTCCTCCAATTGGAAAGTTGGGGGTTTGATTCCACCAGCAGTGACATGCTGAAGTGTCCTTGGGCAAGACACTGAACCCCTCATTGCCTCTGATGTCCCATCAGTGTATGAATGTGATAAAGCACTGATTCGTCTTTGGAGAGATCTAGTAGAGTGATGTATGAACGGGTAAATAAGGGCACGGATTGTAGTGTAAAGTGCGTTGAGTGTCTCGATAAGATAGAAAGGAGCTGTAAAAGTACAGTCCATTTACCATTTATCCAGGATGTGAACATCTTCATCCCTGAAAGAGTGACCGCTGGCCTGGAGATGAGTGTAGACCGCAGAGTCCTGGCCTGATGATGTTGATCTTCTGTGCTGGTCCATCCTTTTGGCCAGTGGCTGTTTAGTTTCCATGATGTAAGACTGATCACCCTCCTGACACTGAACAACATACACAGTATTACTCTGTTTGTGCCGGGGGACTGGATCTTTGGGATGAACCAGTCTTTGCCGTAATGTATTTTGGGGTTTAAAAGCCACTGGGACGTTATGTTTAGAAAATAAATGTCTCAGTTTCTCTGATACCCCCTCAACATACAGAATGACCACTGGTCTGGGTCTGTTCCTCCGTTTCACCTGATGGCTGACTGGAGTCCTGTTTGGTACCTTTAAACGTTTTGCACGAACAATGTCCGTATTACTACACAAACATCGGTCTGTTGAGACTTTTGAATGTACCAGTACACTTGATTAGCACTTCTGCTCAGTCCAGTGGAGGACTTTGATAAAACAGTGACAAACTGAACAAACAGTGTCGTGTAAAGTACACGTTTAATATTAGCTAATGTTACCTGTGTGACATATTTGAGAAATACTTGTTTTGACGCAGTTTGGCTAGCCGTTAGCCTAGCCTGAAGAAAGAACAAAACTTGGTAATCCTAGAAGGAGCAAGACAATCCAAAGCTGAGTCAGCGGGTGGCAGGTCTACAAAGGTAATGATGACAGCACAGGGAGGCGAGAAGACACCGTCCTCTGATAATTTATTCTCTGCGTTAAATCAGCTCACACACATCCTTTGCTGCAGGTCTAAAACCACAAATCAAAAAAGATTTTTTTTAAATATTAATTAATTTTTTTTATTTGCTCCAACCTTCTTTCCCCTCCTCATATTATTATTTTAAATCCAATCATGGCGGCGGTGAGCTTTTTTTCTTTAACAGGTCACGCCCAGATGTTGCAAGAAAATGCTTGTTCAAAGGTCCACATGCTTTTAACTCATAGTTGTCACGTTTACTTGAACAATATATAAATGTACTTTTTAACAACTTTTCAGTCATTTCTCTTGATAATGAACAGCTGACCTCAACTTCATTAAACCCCATCCAATATATTTCTTTTAGTTTTACTTTCACAGCTTTACATTTTGTAACGTCTTGAAAATTGCTCTGTTCAGACACAGGACAGTGTTTCAGATTCAGGACTGAAGAAGAAGAAGAAGCTTTGACCTCTGGAAACAGGAAGCGTGGCTTCCACAAAGTGTTGCCACCAAGCTAACACTCTGTTGTCTAAATATCCCTGTAGCTGAAGCCGGGAGGCAAAGTTTAGTCTGGCAACAAAAGAGACAAAAACAAACATCAGCAGAGGTGAATATTAACTGAGTGATGAGAAAATACAATCAGTAAAGGGACCTCTAAAGAAGAAGAGAGACAGTCAACAGATGTCTTCAAAGCTCATCAGTCATTTTGGAAGAAGTGAGCGTGTTTGGGCTTGAGGCGTGTTTTTAATTTAAACGTCGTCGCACCTGACATCAAAGCAGAAAAGCTGTTTCCTTTGGTGAGAAAGTAAACCTGTTATCAGAACAAACATGTGCTCTGGGTGTGTCTACTGTCACTGTGCCAGAAATACAAGTCAGTTCATCTGGTATTGTTCTGAGGGTTTGCTGCAGAGTGGGCAAACAAGTGGGTACGACACTGCCCCCTGGTGGAGGTTCACCGCAAACACACTAGGCCTGTGAGGCGCTTTGAAACCAGTCAGGATCAAACGTGAATTAAAAGTGCATACGTAGTTACATATGTGTTTCCATCCTCTTTTAAACCAATGAAATAAATAGTTAAATGAGCGGACTGCTCATAATTTACAAGCATTATTGTTAAAGAGAAGTTGTCTCGCTTCCTTTTTGCCCAAAACAACAACAAAAAAAGGATGAATGGCACTGGTGGAGGAAACTTGACATAATTTATTATTGTTCATTACAAAAAAAAAAAAAGAGGCTGCAAGAACAGATGTAAAACTTTGCTCTTTTTCATGGAGGGGTGTCTCACCAGCTCACAAAAGGTGAGATCTTTCACGACGTTTGAGGCAGAGATGCTCGTATCCTCACAGCTGCAGCGAGATGCCACATAAACAACCAGGAAGTACACACGCTCTACTGAAAAACATCTGCTAGATATGTACAAATTTATACATCCATAAAACAAAATCACCGACTGCTGATTGTTTGACACGTGTCGTTTGATAAATAAAAATTAAAAATCTCACAGCTAGAGGTTCAACTAAAGGTTAGCACTGACAAATAAGCACTATTAAAACGAGTTATAATCTAAAATAAAAACGGTAAAAATACCCATTTTGTGCTAAAAGCAGCACAGAAACACGTCATTAGCATGAAGTGGACCGTCCCCTGTTCCTTCAGTACACGCCTGGGCTGTTACGGATCCCACAGCAGAGCACCATGGTGAAGATCATCTCAAAGATCTAAACACAGACAAGGAAAACACATCTGGATTAAAAACATTCGTAATGATGAAGAGCGTATCTTTTGTAGTCCGACACTCACCATGATGACGGCAACCACCAGGGCGGCGAGGCCGATGAGGTAGAGCTTCTTAGAGAACAGCTCGACCAGCTTTATGTGACAGCCCTGAGGGGAGGAAGAGGCTGGGTGAGGATGCTGTGATGGGTGAGATGTTTCTACCGCTCGCACATCGTCAGGGATTCCATGTCATAAAGAAATGTTTACTGTCAAAGCAAAGGGCTGCGCTGCCTACAGGACTGTTTACACTGAACGTTATCTGATCCCAGTCTGTTTGACGTTAATCATCTGTAGGAACACGAGGCTTCCAGGGTTACAGACTAAACCAGTGTGGGTTCAGTTGGTCTGATCAAAAAGATCATAAGTTAATGAAATATTTCTTAAATCATTAAAGCAATATAATCTATTTAAACAATGAGTGGATGTGGTTTGGGCTCAACAATATTTACCAGCATAAAAGCAGTTAAAATGTCCCAAATCTTGTGTGTTAAAATAAAATACATAAAAAATAAGTTTAGCCTAAAGGGATAGATTGGATCATTTCAAATAATAATAATGTGTTATGTGAAAATTGGCTCTCTGCTTTTAACCCATCCACCCCCAGGTGGAGCAGTGGGCAGATATTGAAAGCGTCTGGGGAGCAACTGGGGATGAGGTGTGCTGCTCAGAGACACCACGAGATGTGCAATGACTGGGGATTGAACCTGGGACTTTGGGGTCCTGAGTTGGCTGCCCTGCCTCTACCCCATAAAGTGAGGTCCTGTGAAAAGTTTATGACCGTTTAATATCTTACTGATAATAATTTTACATTAAAGGATTATTCTGGTAAAAATGTTCTGACTTTTTCTGCAAGAATTGTCCCAAGCTGCACAAAAACTACAGAATACATGAAAATAACATGAAGCTGAGTGAAGTCGAAACTTATACTGTATTTAAAAAAGGCTCATATGAAACTTACTGTATGTGATCTTTTTTTTAGATGACAGCAACCCACTTTGGTCTTGATGCTGCTCAAATTAGTCAGTTTAGTTAGAATTAAACTATTTTTCCAAACTGAAATATTTATTAATCTCCCACAAAACATATATTAAATGATCCAACACCTCAGAAACAAAAAAACCTGAACTTTCCTTTGAATATGCAACTTTATAAAATCTAAAATGTGTATTGATCCTGTGTGTGTGTGTGTGTGTTTCTCTGATAGCAAACATCAGATAAACCACCGGACAGATTTAATAAAATGTTCAGAAAGTAATCAGTTGATGTAGATCCATTAGTATTTACTAAGTTCTGTTTAATATTTATCTACTACAGTCTTTCAATACAACAAACTAAATCTGAGACTTTGAGTTTAGGACTTTATTATTTACTTCATTTCATGCTACTGAACTTTATAT